AGTGTCAAAACTCAGTTATTCTCAATGACCCCTTTATGACTTCCAAACCAGTACTATCTGCCTGAATATTACACTAGCGTGTTCAACATCGAGGATGAGGTACAACCTTAGCTGCTTTCAAACACAGTTTTTGGTATGCTATCAGGGAATACCTCCCAGAAGATTTAGCCTCAACACTGCTAGTCTCTTCAGGTCCAGTTGATCAGCATCAAGTATCCATGCAGGCAAAGGTTTCACTCTTTTCTTGAACTTGGCATAAATTTTATATGATGATTTATATATAATTATTTATCGAGAACTACAGAGTACCAGTCTCAGCACTCTTTCAGGGTTCAGAGTAGGACTTCTGTGACAAGTGAAAGCTGTCTTGGGAATGGGATCTGAGGGGAAGAATAAACTGACTCTGGCACGTTTTTCCTGCATTTTCTTTATTCCTTGGGGGAAGATGAAAGAAGGGAAAGAAGAGTATAAGGGCATAAGGCTAAGGGCAAAGCGTCAGACATAAGAACAAAGAGTAGGGGTAAAGGCGACAGGCATAAGGCATCAGGGGAAAGGGGGATAAGAAGAAAATACGGGATAAGGGCAAAGTCTAAGGCTAAGGGCAACGGTAAGGAATAAGGCATAAAAGTAAGGGATAAGAGCAAGGGTCAAAAGGAGACGTGATGTCCACAAAGCTCTCAGTTCATATAGGCACACAGACAAGTTAACAGTCCCATAGGCAGTGATAATAGTATCAGGCATACATTTTCACAGAGTCAAAAGAAGCCAATTGATCTGGCAAGAAGCCACCTTATGTCTCAGAGGGGGCATAGTTGTGAAGTTTGCCCTCAGGCTAGCTATACTAACCTGCAGGGTTGGTTTGCATTTGCATCTAGCTGGTTGAGTTAAGATCTCATCTGGGGATCCTACTTTTGATTCAGGTAGGGTGCCAAGGTAAGAATTTTTCTCTCTGAAGCTAGTTTTATCAACTCAGGCCTTTTTTTCCTGTATAAACAGCTAATTTCTTGTGTTATGATCTTATGTTAGTTGAAACCAAGGTGAAGGGTTGATGTATAATATTAATATCCTGTTAGTTAAGAGCAGAAAACCAGTGGAGTGGATTACACCTTCCTGATTTTGCTGGTCAAGCAGAGTACCTGCTATATGAGACTCCTTTCCTGTCAGTGAGTATTATTAATAAAGAAAGTGTGTGGGGGACTATTTTTATGTACATTTTGACTATGAGAACAAGGATTGACTGAATCATTTTCACACCAGGGCTTTATGGTGTGTGGGGAGGTGTCTCTTTGCTTTGCAGGAAAAATAGGTTTATACACTGTTGGGATACTATAGAAGAAAGAACTTTCATGATTTCACAAGATTTTTTTCAAAATTGACAATGACTTATTCAAAGGACAGATGTGTTCATAGCTCTGCAAAAATGGGTTCTCCAGGTGGTGTGCATGTATACACTTGCTGTGGATAGTTAAATAGATCTGTCAGTTGTACATTCACTGTATACTACTTGTGGGCTCAACACAAATTGTATTAAACATTATCTCACAAATTATAATATTAAATTTGTTTTCTTATTGCTAGCTGTTTTCATGGTATTAATCTCTAAAGCAGTTTTTTTTTTCTCTTTATTGATGCTTAGGATTCTATAACATTTCACAAACATTATACAGAAAATTGTGAAGTTTTTTTTTCTTGTACCAAAAAGTGCTGTTCCTCATTTTCACGCCCTACAGAAATGAGTTGGTGTAGGTAGAAATACAAAGTAAGCAGTCTGGGGATTACTGAAGAACACATCCCTCTGTAGTTGGCCGCTGACTTTCTGATGTATATCCAGCCATTATCATCTACTGTGGACAAGAAGCAACAGGGATAATTTTTACCCAGCCTCAATTGTTCCGAGCTCCATTACATAAAACTTGAATGTGTGGTTAATGGATAATTTTCATAAATTTACAGATTTAGGAAATAAGGAGCATTGTTTCTATAGAAGTAACCTTGCACTGACTTTTAAATTTATGCCTCCTGTTCTTTAATATGTAAGGATATTTTCATAGGTGGGGAGCTGGAAATCAGACAGGACAGAAGTATTGATGAAGACAAGGGGAATAACACTGGCTTCACTTTAAAAAGTATATGTATGATTTGTGTACATCTTTGTGTATATGCAGACCATAGTTATCTAATTTCAAATCTTAAAGACTTTATGGAAAAGCCTGTTATCTCATTCCAAACATTTATATTGATGTATTCTTGAATTACTTTCCAGGCAATTCAAGAGTTAAGGAAGGTATAATCATAAAAGGAATGCAAACACTATGTCTCCTTCTCAATTCATGTGCATGCACACTTATGCTGAATTCAGTTTAAGCTACTTAAATGATAGCATTCCCTTTAATGCCTCCTGTAAGTGTGTAATTGCCAAATTGAGCATAAATATTTAAATTCACACCTTATTAGACTTTGTTAGCTTGTCCTGTACTGGAAACCAAGGACTCTACACTAGGCATCTGAAAATGAACCTTCATTGTTGTCAGGTGGAACATGAAATTTTTGATTATATACTGCTTAATTATATCCTTTCATATTCATTTTCTTCTCCATTAGTTGGGTTCCAGTTATTGATTACAGTTCCCAACCTCTCTCCTAGTAAGAGCTTTCTAACCTTCTGTAATACTTTATCCTCAAAGGAGTCTATAATTATCCCATAGAAGGTAGACAGATATGTAAGGACATACGCAGCATCCTCTATGACCTGCCTCTGTTTTTTAAGCTATATCTAACCTTATTTCTAACCCAATTAATACTACCAGTATATTTGTACTCCCCCAAATAATGTATTATACTCACATTTCTTTTGCTGTGTTCAGACCCATGGCCAGTTTTTATTTTTTATAAGTATGCTTTGGTTTACAAACTGTTTCTTCTCTCCAAATTTTAATAAATCACAAATTTTCATTATTAGATTTCTTCTGAATAACAAGGGGTCATTCTTTTCTAGCAATATTGGTAGCATTATAATTTAAAATCTTCTCTTTGGTTAAGCATTACAACTACTTGGGAATCCTTACATCTCGAAAACAATAGTGGGGTTTAATTAATATATTTGGTTAAAAGTGATTGTGAGATTAAAGTCTAAGTGTCTTAGCAAATACAATGTGACCTTAGATATTCTGTATGTCCAAATATAATGTACAATGAAACAATATGTATATAGCTATTCAATTAATTTATAAATTCAACCCCTCAATTTTGAAAGCAAAACAAAACTTGTGAAATTTGTTTTTCTTTAAATATTTTAATAAGGTAAAAAAAACTTTATAAAAAATGAGGAATACTGAGAATTCAAGAACAATTGCAGTGGGTTTTTGATCCTACTGCACGTACTGGCTTTGTGGGAGCCTAGGCAGTTTGGATGCTCACCTTACGAGACCTGGATAGAGGTGGGCAGTCCTTGGGCTTCCCACAGGTCAGGGAACCCTGATTGCTCTTCGAGCAGATGAGGGAGGGGGAATTGATCGGGGGAGGGGGAGGGAAATGGGAAGCGGTTGTGGGGACGAGGCAGAAATCCTTAATAAATAAATAAATTTAAAAAAAAAAAAAAAAAAAAAAATAAATAATAACTATCTTGGAAAAAGGGGTAAACTCTCTAGAAACCCCCGGAAGTAGTCTTCAGTTGGAATGTAGTCAAAATTAATTGTAAGATGAAGAAATAAATATTTAATATTCCATTTTCTCAAAAATACATTTTATTTTATAAATATTACATCTCTATACCTTTATATACACTATGAGTATATTTTCATTTTTTCAGTATTATTCACATGTTGATGAAATATATATTTGTGTCATGATGAGTCTAATAAAATAAGACCAAGATAAAGGCCAGAATAATAAGGGAAATGTTTGTAACAAGTAATTGAGAAAGACCTATGTATTAAAAAATAGTAATACAGCAAGAGTCAAATTGTAATTTAAGAAAGAGAAGATAATGCATGAAAAACCCGCATTTTATTTATTTATTTTTACAGTTTTGAAGTCTCAAACTCTCCATTAAAAAAATCTATGAGGGGTCAGAGAGCTGTAACAGATACATGGCCAGGGAAATCTTTCTGAGAAGCTCGAGGTTCAGAAAAAAACAATGAAAGGAATAAGAGTCAATAAGATTGGAATAGAATAAATTTCCGGACTAAATCAAAGAACATGCAAGAGAAAAATCACTGTATTCTGGTTACATTGGTCAATGTGTTTTCTTGACAGAATCTGACTAAACCACCTCAAGCAGAAGCAATCAATACTGGGATTGGTGAACACTTATTATACAGAAATGAAGTTCTAGTTACTTTAAAGTTTGAGAGCTTGTGACCATAAAGGAAAAACACGGTGAATTAGTATTGTTCACCCAGAGATGATTTGAGTTTTTATCTGAGTCTGTATAGGAAAGGGCTATGCACCTGGCTTTAGGGTGATGAATCGGACACAGACAAAACAATGTCATTTACATGACTGTTTTCATGGCCGGAAATACTTTCCTCTATTTACCTTCTGGTCGACTCTTAATAAATAAGAATAAGAAGACAAAACGTCAGATTTTACTTTTAGTGTGGAATTCATGTGAGGAATTTAAAGATTTAAATTGATTCTGTTAACTAAAAAGTAACCATATTAATGCTTATACTCACATTAAACCTGAGGAAAATATTACGTGATACATATGCCATAGAAACTTAAATATCAATCTAATAAGAGATGTTTTTATGTTTTGGTTTGTATTCTTTTAGATACATATCCAATAAAAATCAAGTTACATACTAAAAAGTAAGGGCATGTGAGACTGGATGTTTAGTTGAAATGCAATATAAGAAATGTCATTAGTGAAATTGATGGATTTTACAGGCGTAGATTGCATCTACTAGGGATATATTCATTGTTGATTTTACAGTTAACCTCCTAACAAACATGGATGAAATACAGAACACAAAGCGAACAAATAATTTCTAGCTTACCATTGACAATAACAATGATATCCCGGAAGTCAATCTCTCCCCTTGCCTCCACTCTTCCTTCACATCTGTATATACCTTCATCACTTTTATTGATGTTGAGAATCTGCAAGTTATTGTTTGCAAGCACAGCAAACCGATCTGAAAAAAACAGCAAAGGAGAAGAAATGACATCAGTGATTGGATCTGAGGCTAGAGCACTCCGAGTTTCTAAGAGTTAAACTACAGCACTTTCCTGACACCATCCAACTTTCCATCAACCACAAATTCAAATTTGAAAGTAAAATGTAATTTCACAACTTCAAGTTTTCCTCTCTAGCTCTGCCTTGCTATATCCCCCCCCCCTAAAATACATTCAAGACTTTATATCCACATAAAATGGTTAGGCTATTATTTTATCCTTGGTGCTCTGAATGCAGAAGTGATGCACAAAAAGAACAATGCAAGGAGTTTAGATATTGCTGACCTGACAGCTTTTAAGTGCAAACAGCCACTTGGCTGTGGAAAGTAGTTAGAAAATATATTGAACATCTTTCCTAAAGAATAATTAAACTGCCAATTCTTCTGTAACCTGAAAAGGCAGCCAAATGACATGCTAATGTGCAAACCACGTACAGGATATAAGAATGGTTATGACTTGAATTTATTTAAGTACTTTTTTGCAAATTACAAATTAATCTTCTTTATGAATAATTAGACACAAGCATTAATTTTTATTTCGAGGTTAAATTTATCTTTCTTATGCACATAGGTAGGCTGAAAAGGCATATGTTTTTTTCATGTATTGACTGCCAAAAATAATATTTTATTTTCCTAATTTTTTGCGTAGAGTGCATGACAGTTTTAGCTACATGCATGTATGTGTACCAGATCTTCTGAAACTGGGGTTACAGATGGTTGTGAGACACTGAATGGGTGTTAGGAATTGAGCCTGAGTCTTATGTCTTATGCAATGACTGAGCCTCATTCCAGGAACAAATGTGTTATGAAAAAAAAATATGTGTGTGTGTGTGTGTGTGTGTGTATATATATATGTGTGTGTGTGTGTGTGTGTGTGTGTGCATATATATATATGTGTGTGTGTGTGCTAATATATATATATATATATATATATATATATATATATATATATATCTGAGATGCCTAGACATAATCTAAGTTTATCATCATTATCAAAGAATTTTTGTAATATCAAGACTTTTTTTTTTTTTTGATTTTTCGAGATAAGGTTTCTCCGTAGCTTTTGGTTCCTGTCCTGGAACTAGCTCTTGTAGACCAGGATGGCCTCGAACTCACAGAGATCCGCCTGGCTCTGCCTCCCGAGTGCTGTGATTAAAGGCGTGTGCCACCACCTCCCAGCTAAGACTTTTCTTATTACGTAAATGATGCTCTCATATCCAGTTCTACTATGTTAAGTATTTTAAATGAAATGTTACTATTTTTGTTTTAGAACTTCATCTTCTGATGGAGGAAGGTCATTGGCTAATAAAGGCACTGCCCTGGCCCGTTTAATTGGTTAGAGGATAGGTGGGAGGAGAAAACAGGACAGAACGCTGGGAGGAAGAGGAAGTGAGGTCAGAGACTCCACAGCTCTGCTCTCTCGGGAGCAGACGCCTCAGAGAGAGACACCATGCCCTGCTCCAGGCATGAAGCTCCGACCCAGGATGGACTAGGCTAGAATCTTCCCGGTAAGACAGGTTCTCACAGATTATTAGAGATGGGTTGATCGGGATGTGAGAATTAGCCTGTAAGTGCTAGAGCTAAAGGACCAAGCAGTGCTTAAAAGAATACAGTGTCTGTGTAATTATTTTGGGGCATAAGCTAGCCATGTGGGCGGCCGGGTGTGGGGGACGCAGCCCTGCCACCCCATATTACTACAGTCTTCCACAGTAAATATCTTTTGTTTCATTCGTTAATGAATTCGTAGAGAATATTTAATAGCTTGTTTACTAAAGTAGATACAATCTTTGTCAACTTTGAATATATGCATCAAATAGAACTTCTACTAGTATAGAGAACAAAGTCCCTCCAATATTTATTGATTAGAGGCTACTTTTTTGTCTGGACCAAGTTTATTGATGTTTCTCTGTTTTGTTTTAATAGAGATGCAAAGAAATCATAAAAGGCATTTGTGAACAATAAAGGAAAAAAAGAAAGTTGTCTCCTGCAAGTCCTAAAGTAAATCCATGCTAAAAAGTAGATCTTTTGATGGTAGGAAAAGATAAAGAAAAAACTATTACTTACAACTATTTAAATGTAGGTGTTTTATAATTTGCCATCATTTTTTAATGTTGGAGAGGTGTTTAGAGGAGAAATAACTGAAATATTATTGCTCAGGCAGTAAGTTATTAAAACAGGCAAGCAGGTGGTCATTTGTTACATAATAGATACTTGCTTGAGATGGAAATGGGTAGAATAAGAGGCTGCCTCAGAAAGAGCGCAAATTATGAGGACCAAGACATGTTATTTTCAGGTAGGTTTTTATATAGAAAGAATACATAAAAATTTCCATTATGCTTATTTCTTTTGTATTAATCTAAGAGAGCCCAAACAGACACACAGAGGCTTCCCTGGTTAGGTCAAAATGGAAACATAAAATTTCTTCACCAAAAGAAACTAGGCTGGGGAAAGGTTCCTATAAAGTACAAGTCACTGAACTTCCAGAATGACTCAGAACTTCAGAACACTCATGAGGATAAAAAGTCAATGTAAATATATTCTATCACACTTTTTTGGTAGAACAATAGAACAGTTATAATTATTTTTAACATGTGAACAATGGCAATGCTAGCTAATGTACCATCATGGATTCAAGAATTCTAACAGGCCTCCACTCCCTAGTGGATCTATAGGCAATTAACAACTGCTAAGAGAGGGAGAATTAGCTCTCCCCTGAAATGAGTCCCCTATTTGGTTATCAATTATGAGGCTGTCATTCCTGAAAATATATGTATATATCTGCAACACTCAACAGACTCAGCAGGTTCTTTTTTGTATATTAATTTACAAATATTTATATAACATGTAACAATAAGAGTAGTACATAATTAAAAAGAGCATGGATTTTGAGCAAGTGATAAGGGGTATGTAAAGAGATGGAGGGAGGAGAGAGAAAGAAAAATGATGTAATTATATTTTAATCAAAACATGTTTTAAAAGAAATAATTATGTTTAAGGTCATTCAAGGAGAGAAGAATGCTCCCAATCACATCAGGTTGATTACACTGTCTTTTCCAACATCAGAAAACATGTAAAATCCTGTAAATGTCAAATCCTTAAATTATGATACTTCACTAGGTCTAAGAGAAAATGTAAAAAGGAACTCTGTTTTAATTGACATGGTGAAGGTGATGTTTCAACTGAAAATAAAAAGATAGTCATAGACATATATCTTGGAGAGTAATTGACCATTATTTTATTTTCTGATTAGAAAAATGTCTCTTTCAAATTACCTCTTACTTATTTACTTTCTGTAATGGATTAGAAACCACTCAAACTCTAAATGAATAATTTTATAAATGAATGCTCTTTTATGTATTTATGTTTATACAAATACCCATAGTAAAATCAATTTCTGTGGAAATGTCATGTAAAATTCCAATGTGTAATATAAAACTTGTAGTTGTTGGTAGGCTATGAAAATTAAAAGCATCACTAGCATGAATATCCTAGAAAGGGCTGTTTTAAGAAGTCATAGATAACTATGAGTTTGAAAACGTTTAAAAGACTTTTTATTATTTGCAAATAATTTCAATTTTAAAAATAAAAATTAGAAATAAATAGACAATAATCAATAAGATATACATTACTTTTAATTTTGAATTTTTCAGCTCTCAGATTTTCATCTTTTTTTATTTACTGTAAATAGATGCCATACGTTGTCTTTTCTACTATGACATGTTTCAAGAGTCACAGAGTAGTAATTGAAAGCTTCCTTCCAGATTCCACTCTGTTTGCTCACATCAGAGCACAACACAGGAATGTGGCAAGCACACTAAACATGGAATGTATGCACTTCTGTTTAATATCTTCACATGGAACTCAGGGCTGACCCAAAAGTCACGAAACTCCTTGTTTCAAGCCCGTACTGAAACATCCTTTGTATCTATCTTTATTTCCTGGTGTTTATTTAACAAACAGAAATCTATGTCATATCACACTATTATTATTCATTATTTAGTGGAAAGTCTTCTCACTCAGCAATTATTCCCTAAGAGCCTGAACAACTGCCAGTGTTTGCAATTTTGCCTCAAAACTCATCTACATCATTCAACTTGCTTTCAAACCCATTTTAGATTATGTCAGTGCCTTTATAGAAACACTTCAGTGGTTATTCCTTTAAAAAAAATCCCTAGGATCCTTATGGAAATGTCAAAAGGATACTGACTTTGATAGTCTTTCTTCTCCATGTTCCTTAAACATAGGGAACAATTCTCGGTCATTTGCATAAGCATTCAGTTTGTAAGAATATGAAAGTTCTATATGTTTTTTACTTCCAATATCCAGGAGGATAACTATGTGTTTTTTATTTTGGGTTCACTTTCTTATTTAGCTTCTCTAGGATCACAAATTATAGACTCAATGTCCTTTATTTATGGCTAGAAACCAATTATGAATGAGTACATCCCATGTTCATCTCATCCTCCTGGATATTGGAAGTAGACAAGATTGCCGGACAAAAATTGGGAACTTGGGGGTGGGGTGTTATGGGGGTAAGGGGAAATGGAGAGAGAAATGTGAGAAGGGGAGGATGGGGGCAGCTTGGGAGAATGGGATGGTTGGGATAAAGGAAGGGTGGATATGGGAGCAAGGAAGTATATATTCTAATTAAGGGAGCCATCTTAGTGTTGGCAAGAAACTTGACTCTAAAGAGGCTCCCAGGTGTCCAAGGAGATGTCCCCAGTTAGTTCCTTGGACAGCTGAGTAGAAGGAACCTGAAGTGGCCCTATGCTATAGCCATACTGATGAATATTTTGCATATCACCATAGAACCTTCATCTGGCGATGGATGGAGATAGAGACAGAGACCCACATTGGAGCACTGGACTGAGCTCCCAAGGACCAAATGAGGAGCAGAAGGAAGGAGATCATGAGCAAGGAAATCAAGACCACGAGGGGGGCACCCACCCACTGAGACAGTGGGGCTGATCTATTGGGAGCTCACCAAGGCCAGCTGGACTGGGACTGAAAAAGCATGGGATAAATCCGAACTCTCTGAACATGGCGGACAATGATGAGAAGCCAAGGACAATGGCACTGGGTTTTGATCCTACTGCATGTACTGGCTGTGGGGGAGCCTAGCCTGTTTGGATACTTACCTTCTTAGACCTGGATGGAGGGGGGAGGACCTTGGACTTCCCACAGGGCAGGGAACCCTGACTGCTCTTTGGACTGGAGAGGGAGGGGGAAAGGAGTGGGGGGGAGGGGGAGGGAAATGGGATGCGGGGAGGAGGCGGAAATTTTTTCAATTAAAAAAAAGGAATATGAAAGTTTAAGTTAGACTGAACTAATGTTTAGGTTTCTGCTGGGTAGCAATGACCACACTTCTTCTCTAAAGTATCTAGTTTAGAGGGAAACTCCTTAAGACTCGGATGTTCTAAGAGGAGGTGAGACTTTCCATCTTATAGGCATGTTCTCTAAGATTCAGAAAGTGAACAAGTCAAAAACATGAGGAAGTCCCTGGAACTGAGCATTTTCACTCTCCTCTCCCACAGCCCACATAATCAATAAAAACTGCTGGAAGAGTCCCTCAGACTAGATAACTATATGGAAGAGGTACTGTTTACCCGGATAAAACTCCTAGGTTCACACATTGATTTTGATGATATTCTTACTTTTTTCCTCAGTAGTTTTCTACATTGCATAGGTACTTACAACCGTTCCTGAGAATGTCATTGTGCTTTTTATTACCAGGCCTTGCATGTGAGGTTTTCTGCCATGAAAAGTCCTCACAGGAGGAGACTAATACCTATGCTTGTGCAAATTGACAGTTTTCTATTGACAGACATATTTGAGACCCGCCTTATCATGAGCTCTCTTGAGCATCCTGTCTTTTTAAAATGGGAACATTGAAACTTACCTTTCATAGATTTGGAGTACCTTGTGCTCAGTGACTATTTATTTACATATTCCTCTAGACTATCAATAGTTTAAAGACAATGAAAGTGTCTTCTAACAACGAATCAACATTCAATCTTTTATACTATCAGATAATTACATAAATTCTTATTGAATGAGATATTTTTCTATAATTCTGATACAAAAGAGCACTTTATTAAATGCTAGCTAAAATATTTACAAAGCTGATGAGACAGTTTTCAAATTAAGCCATGTTCAGTAGTGTTTGTGTAATCCTGGGTGAGTAATGAATAAAACTGAGGAAATTATACTTCTTAGGCACTTCCTGCGTGACCGTGCTCTTTAGCAGATGGGTCTCCTTTAGGGAAACAAGGGAAAAGCCTACTTAAATTATTCTCTTGTAATGTCATGTTGAATACCTGACAGCTCGTGTCAGAAGCACATGAGATAAACTCTCTGAGGCCCTCAGTATCTGGCCTTGACTGCCAATGCAGTAACCAATAACACATTAGCAAAGAATGCTCCCAGATCATCGACTTAATTTAATATCTTTACACAGTTTTTCAGTTATAAATCCAATTTTGTTAGACTAGCTGTAAAATACAACATGTTAGATGCATTAGAAAAATATTCCTATAAATCTACCTAAATTGAAAAATTGTTTATTAAATGTTTAGAATCTGCCTTTAACCTTCCTGTTAGAAAAGTCTGAACGACACAATTATCATTAATTATTTTATTTTCATCGCATGTTGTAGACTTCAGGGATATGAAATTTGAAATCTACTGATATCTTGTTTGTAAATATTTTTTCTATGCATAAGCTAAGTACATATAATTTTGGTAAGACTCATCCTAATTATTAAAAGCAGAATAAAATATAAAGCATGAATAAAAAAATCATGACTGAGAACCACACATTTAGCAACATCATTCATTTACATAGCAAACATTTATGAATACCTGATAGGTTATTTACAAGTTAAAGAAACTGCTTGAAATGGATGCATTGAATCCAGTGGAGATTCCAGATTTTCATATTCCATTGCAGGATGCTTGGAAGCCATGTCAGCTACGCTACTACAGGGTCCATTCCCATCCTCGCTGCATTTCTTAAACTATCTTTGTTTTAAGGCTTTGTTCCAAGTCACATCTTAAAAGCATTAGCCATTTTTAAATCTCCTTGTGATTAATGTTTATTATAACATGTATGTAAATACAAGCTCCAATGTTTGATAATCTATAAATGTCATTCAATCATTATATAAAAAAAAACCTTCTGTTCTTTCATATTTAGGGGAACAATGCTGAAAATATTTTGTATAAATTACCCATACAATTTGTGTAAAGCTGGAAGGATTTTCACATAACAAAATAAAAATAAATTAAATGTTATGGTTTATTAAATTAAAATATAAAAATCAGTTTATTATTAACTGACGACTACTGAATATGTAATGCATAAAAAATCTTAAAATAAAATACCACCTATTAAACATAATTATGACACATTCTCTAGTCATACTTAAAAATAGATATTCTACTTTCTTTTATGCTGTGCAAATTTCGTCTCTTCAAAACACATAATAGAATCATCTAACATGAATAATCCTTTAAGAGATTCAATTATTTGTACCTCTATGTAATGCAGGTGCAATGAAATACATAGCAAATTGAAAATGTCCCTATCACAATAGTAAAGTAGCATAATGTCAGCAAATTATGCTTTCAATTACAAATGTCATATTCTGGAATTTTACCTAAATCTGAATCAAAATCATGATGACAATTTGAACAAATATTCTCTTCTGTCTATTATCCATACTTATTTTTCTATAATACTTAGAATATGTCACCTTTTTGAGAGAACATTCATAGAACACAGGTTATTTCATGCTGATATTTTATCCTGCTTGTATATAGTGTTCTCATCACATTAGAATTATAACAAATCGGTTCTGGGTGTTTTACTGTGCACTACTTTGTTTGTTTATTTGTTTGTTTTATTTTTTAACAGTGTAGTAGTACCTGGTAGAAATGGAAGTCAAGCACACATTTTTTTTAAAATAATACTTATAGTAACTTTTTTGACTTTTAATAAATCACTTGATAATTCTGCTGCCAAATCTGCCATAGACTACATATAACTATTGAGCATAGCTATTTTCTGATTTTGTTTTTTGTTTGTTTGATTGATTGTTTTTGTTGTTGTTTGTTTTGTTTTGTTTTTGTTTTCCTTGCTTGCTTGCTTGTTGGGTTTCTGTTTTGTTTTATTTTCTGTTTTACCTGTCCCCAGGTATTCCAGGTTGGTCTTATGAAGCTGGGATGATCTTCAACTCCTGACTCTGCTATATTTATTCAACAAGTGTTGGGATTACAGGCAGTCATCATCATGACTGGTCATGTGTCTTTCTTTTGCTTTCTTATTAAAAGAAACAAGGAGCCAGGCAGTAGTGGCACATGCCTTTAATCCCAGCACTTGGGAGGTAGAGGTAGACAGAATTTTTTGAGTTCGAGGTCAGCCTAGTCTACAAGAGCTAGTTCCAGGACAGACTCCAAAGCTACAGAGAAACCCTGTCTCAAAAAAAAAAGGGGGGGGGGGGTACAGTATTTGGCTCAAAGATGAGAATACAGTAAACCTTAAGCTAGGTCTTAAATCTCAGAATAATTGTTTGAAATTCAGAAAAAAAAATTATACCATCCTTTTTGTTGTCTACTTAGTTGTTTGTCAAAATCAGATTCTTGCTATATGGCCCAGGTTGAACTTGGGATCAAATCTCCCCCATGTCAGCCTTTTAAGTGCTGAGAATACTGGCTCACAATATCATTCCTGACTCTCTGCTTCCTTTGCTACAATACAGAACATTCATATTTGAAAACCTTGAAGTGTTTTAAGAACATATATCTTAAGGAGTTACCAAAATACTAACTGTCGGGAATGGTGGTGACTTCCTCATTGTGATACAGCCAGCTGACAGCAGGAGCGGGTGAGCTGCTAACCCTGCAGACCACTTCAGCATCCTCCCCTTGCTTGAACTCTTGAGGGGATACCACTTCTCTGAAGGTGAGTTTCTCTGTATCAAGAAAATAAATCCACTTGTTAAATATGTATCATTTATTTAACATATTGTCATCTATGATTTTTAATTAATATAATAAGAATATTAGATATTTAAAAAAAATTATAAACAGTGATCTTGTGTCTGCCACACCTTGTCAGAGTGTTCCAAGAACAAAGCTTTGTTTTTTTCTCTTAAGCATTCTTCACTACGGAGTTTGTTGTTCTGAGAATTAACTGTCCACTTCAACTCTTTGAATTCTCTACCTACCTCTAATTTCTCATCCAGGAAATTCCATTACATGTGTATACGACATCATCTATATATTTATATTATTTATAGTTCAAGTCTTAGAAGAACACTGATTAGATTCAATAAGAAGAGTCTTGGCTTAATGAATGAGCACAGATAGTTATGTTCAACCAAGAGTTTTCCACAAAAAACATGAATTGTTGTGGCATCAAATTTTTCATTTAATATTTAAATCATCAAGAATTTTGTACATCATTCAAAAATAATGAAAGATGTTTTTTTAAAATTATGCCTATACCTTACTGATATATTTTTTTTGTATTTTAAAACCAGACAAAATAGAATAACATTTTAATATATTTTCCAGAAAATTTTAATGTGTCAGGGGTAGACAATGCCAGAGATAAAGACATTCCATGAAAATCTCGTTTGTTTTAATATATTCTATTTTTATAATAGTTAAATCAAAATTATAAAAAGCAAAACATTTTTATTTCTATTTAAAAATGTATGGACTTCTATCCCCTTGAAATTTATTATTTATTTCCAGTTTTTATTTTTAAGCATATCTTATTGTGTTTGAATCCTTTGCAATGAAACTACAACACCAATGCACAACTTACGGTAAATTTCCAGAACTACTGTAGCTTCTTGTGTCTGGCCTTTGTCATCTGTCGCTTGGCAGCGATAAATCCCTGCATCTTCTATGTTTGCGTTATAAATGGTTAGTCGTGACCTGACACCTTCCTTCTGGACCATCACCCTCTGCGTGGAAATGATCTTCTCTCCTTGAGGATTATACCAATCTATACTCTCAGGCTCACCAATGGCTGCAAAGAGAAAAGCAAATGTTTGAAAATCGATTTGGAGTGTTTGTTTTCACAGTGACATTTACTATTATGTACCAATTTCAGCAATTTAGAAAAGAATGTCAATAGAAGGCTGGAAATCCAGAAATTGTACAAAACTGAAAGCAAACAAATGTTAAGACAAATGTTCATCTTTGTTTAATCAACACCAAGGACTCCGTCTGTTGCGTGGAGGCAAGCTTCAAACATTTCATCTGAAATATATTACTAAAATTTAAGCTGTGAGAATTGAAGCCTCACAGTCATAATATATTGGATAATTTTGCACAAAATATTAAAACTGCTTTAGACAGATACAAGCCAAATTGAGACATATCTTTTAAAAGAAACAAATGTTAACATGATTTCATATGCTCAATTCTCATTGCTAAAGTCAAGAGACAGCGTAAGCGTTGGCCCAAATAAAGAATTGCTTACAAATAATGTAATTATTTTGTAAAAAAAAATTTGACATTTGTTATTATAAAATTTTGATACAATGTAACACAATGTTCAACTGGTGTAAATAAGGCAAATTGCTATATAAAAAATAAATCCTAATGTCTCTTCCCAACTGAAATGTGTTATTATTTCATCTTCTTTTGAAAGTATTAACCATTTAATCATATTATAATTAGAATACATAGAAATAGCACTTGTTTAGAAAAATGGAATGAGGTTTATATAATATTCTTGCAGAAATGTCATGTAATACATTGATTGTCAGAATATATTTCAAAAATCTTTCTTGACTAAATATTCTTAATTTGAATTTATGTTTCAAATATGTATATTATATATATATATATATTATTTTGTCATTTACCTTTTTCAGATGTTAGAATTATATAGGGTTGTATCTAATTTATCCATTACTTACGTATAACGTATTCAACTTTAGTCTTAAAATTAGTCCTAATATGGGTATTTAGAATGGAATAATATTTAAATACAAGAAGTTTCTTATGTACAGATATTATTTTATAATGTAATTTTTATAAACAAATTAGCTACCTTGATAATTAAATAAAAATACATTTCATAATGTTATTATAGAATTAGTCACATCGTTATCATATAATAAATGTTCAGATACTATTTTTTAACATCAGTGTTAACTATTCAATTTATCCAATGTACTCCATAGGAACTAAAAGCACAGGGTAAAATATCTGAATACATACCTGTACATGTGAAGAATTTAGATTCACCCACACTAAGCTCTACTTTGCTAAGTGAAATTGTCACTTGAAGAAGAGCTGAAAAAAATATTTGAGTGACAGTTAATTGGAGAATTGGGTACAAATTCTAATTACTGATGTATAAATCACAAATTGCACACATAAATCAATTTTCCATTTTAATTATTCACTATGGAAAAGATGTAAGTTTTATACATATATTCTAGCAATCTTATATGTTACAACAACATACCTTTCCTATCAATCTAAAAGTAGTATATATATATATATATATATATATATATATGTATGTATATTCATTAACATTCTGTTAGGCATATAAATTCTGTTAGGCAAAAAATGATCAAATCCATCCTTTCCTTTTTCTTAACAATGGTAAGGGTCCTTATCTATTTAACCATACTTTATAACATGTAAAGAAACGTTCCTTCCAACAGTCAGACTTTTGGTAAAATCATATGTTATATCATCATTATAAAAATGTGATGATATAATAATCTTTCCTTGACTAATAAAATCTTTACTAAAGGAGGCAAACATAGATGATGGAACCTTTGCTAGGAAAGGTGAATGAACAGAAACATCGACAAGTAAGTCTAGTGTAGGAACAGGGACTAATGTACAGACATTATTGAATTATCTTAAATACTTGTCAAGTTTGAAGTTAAAATAGTGGAAATTCTAAAATTTGAGAGGATAAACAACATGTTGCTCCAATAGAACTTGACAGACATGTTTCTAATGATGGGAAAGGCTACCAAGTAAATCATTACTCAAATCTCCCCCATTTAATCTCCCTTTCTCAGAAAGAGATAAGCAAGAATTCAACAACGTAACATGGGTACAAAGAGTAAATAAAGTATTGAAATTCTTATATGAACTGGGAATTAGTAGGCCACAGTAACCAACAGCTCTCTTGTACTGAGTGCAGACTCCAGAAAATACTTGCCCATGTTAGTCTTGGGTATAATGATGCTACGGATACTGGAGTAAGATGAACTCCTGGTTCTGAATAAAATAGGAATAATCAATGCTCTAATTAATGGATACATCAAGGAGACTTGCCCTCTTTGAGTACAGGAATTACTACATAACAATTCTGTCATGTTGATACTCATGGTTTTAATAATGAACATGCATTGTTAGGAAAAATCCAAAGAAGATGATTACAAAAGCAGAACAGCATAAAGGACTAACAGTCAAGTGGTTGGCATAGATGCCCCTGGAAGACACACAGTACAGCCTAAGCCTCCTACATTATTATAGATGAGGTTCTATTCAGTATACGATCATGGACTGATCTTAAAAGAAAAAGGTACTGTAGGATACAATAAATAATAGCTGAAACAACAAAGAGGAGAAATGAAGATCTGATATTTCAAAAAATGCATATTTTAGACTGAGTTGCAAACGTAACTTCTGTGAAATCTTCTAAAAAATTATTTATGTACACAAAACATTTCAACAAGCTAGAACAGTGAACTTCATTTTTTTCCATTCTAAATAAATGAGTGTTGTTAAGGAAGATATGTTTAATACAAAGTCAGTATTAAATATTCTGTGCATGTTTTTAAATATCACATGGCATCCATAATATAATGTAACTTGTATTAGGAATAATCACTCCTCTTGAGGCTGATGATTTGAAAGGGCATGCTTCCTTTTGAAACTTAAAATCTAGGTAACAAGTCGGTCTTCAGGTGGTGAGCTTGGATTTGTTTGGTTTATCCTGAAGAGAGACAGGACAGGAAGAGAGTCAAGACTAAGATGAAAAAGCCACAGGATTAAAAAACCTATCCTTAGCAAGGATGCGTGCAAATGTCAGAGCACACCTATATTGGGGTCCAGATGGTCTACAGATCTTTATTTAGGAGTTGTCACCCCTATCCCAGATTGGCTTCTTGAATGTGGAAAACTGGAAGCAAGAGATCAAGCCTAGGGGGAATGTCTTCAGGGGCAAAGCAAGTCCACAAGGATTGACAGAGTTTCAAAAGATGAACTCAGATAAGGGGCTCAAACACACTGTTTGATCAAGCTCTGCGTGCAGTGCTATTTCTAGCAGCTAGATAAACAATGAATAGGAAGCACAGGCAAAAGTATAAATAATTTATTCCTGAAGAGAACCCAGAGTGCTGTATTTTTGCTTATATTCCCCCCTGTTCCAAGTCACTCTGACACCCACAGCTGCTCAGGCTGCGGCATGTACCTAAGGAAAAAAATGTATGAGATGCAAATGTGAGAGAAAGTGGTGTCATGCAAATTACTTCAGAAGGGCCAACCCCCACAGGGCGCAGAACTTCTAAGTTCAGACCTTTTCCAGCTGTCTAGCCTACTTTTCTTCCTGGAGTGATTTGCTTTCTCTTAATAAACTGTCTCCATTTCTATCACTATATGCTACTGCCCCAGTTCTTTGTTCCAGGAAACAAGAACCTAGATAAATCAGCAGGTGCTCTCTGATTCATGCAGGTAACAATTGGTGATCTGCCAGTCAGGAAGTACAATTGGTTTATGACTATAATCTCTGAACTTTAACACAATGGAAGATTAAATGATTTCAGACTTCTCTTTCTCTCCCACAAAAGACCTACCCTGACAGCAGAACGCTCTTTCTTGTTTCCTTCGCCTCTCCCTTTCATAGTCCACAGCCCACTTTGAAATGGTGGACAAGCTATTGTGGATCAGTGTTACATGATGGTAACACTTACAAAAGTCCTCAAAGAAAATAACACAAGGGACTGACTCAAACTCTGGTCAGAGAAAGAAAACACTGAAGAGTTTACTTTTCAAACCAGTGCTTCTGACTCTCCTGAAGCTACTCTTAGTCTAAGATTCCTGGCTAACAATGACAGCAAAGAGATCTGTAAATGATCAGATCTCATTGTGGACATAGATTGGATGAGAAGTCCAGTAATGTAGAACTTGTACTCCTCTGACCCCATACAATTATCAGAAGGACACACCAGTTGTTTATATTTCCAGAAACATTGCATGTTCAAATACTGGAATTAGCTTTATTCTCAGGCTGTAAAGGAAAAGCTGTCTCTAGACAAGCTCTGTGGGATGTGATACTACATCGAGACTTTTCATGTAACTATTTAGAGAAGTAATTTGAAAAGCCTTTTATATCAGGTCTTCATGAATAAACAGCTACCATAAACAGCTACCGCAGAAGAAGGCACAAAATTTTGGGATACCTTGGATAATGATTGTGTCAACACTCCAACTAGCAGAGAACAATAGAAAATGGAACTTAGCTAATATATGTTGTCTTTCTCAACAAAGCCCTGCCACATATCCATGTTCTCATATCTACCCAGGTTTTCGACAGGGGAACACAGCATTAATGACCATATAAGTAGTAGAATGCCCTATCACCTTTCCACTTCTGTTCTGACAGCATTATCACTCAGGCATGTGCCAGGACCCTAGAGATTAATTTGAGTTCACATGTCTATCTGAATCACAGCAATGTGCGGAGAGCCAAGAAAGCTTCTTTAATGAACCGGCCTGACTTCCCAGTAGCTTTTAGACCTGAACTTTAGCATATGGTATTAGAATGAAGATCCATACTTAGTCCTGAGTATGTGCTATGCTGTGCTGTTAAAAATAAAGCATGTGGTCAAATTCAAAAACATGCTGACAAGCTGTTGGTTTGAAGCCCTAATGGCCATCTGCCCAATGCACAGGTCCTCCCATATTAACAACCCACTGTTTGATATTGTAATAATCTAAAAGGGGCTAGAGGGTGTGGGAATGAGAATAATAAGCACCATTACAATGAATCAAATTTAAATAAAGGTACCTATTTATTACTTATGACAAGGTTAATGTGGTTACTCAAGGAAAAGAGAGATGTCCTCTCTTTATTTGCAGCAGGCTAACCAGGTCTTTAAAGAAATTCAGCAACTTGGATCTCTCACCCCCCCAAATAAAGGATTTATGAGACAAAGTTTCACTGTGTTGAAAGTGTAAAAGTGACACATGAGACCTGAGAACTCAGTGATTCAGCTGTGCACATTTTTATCTTAGTGCTCGAAAATCAAGATCTGAAGTGAGACAGCAACAAATAGAAAAACCGGGAGACTGGGAACCAGAAGATTGTGATTCTACTTGTAGACTCTACTGGCACGACCTTCCCAACAAGCCAAACCTCATATTAGTCTCAGAGAGCAAAGAGAAAATCTCAGATCGCTGCAGGTGTGAAGTTCCTAGATCTTACATATATGAAAGTGCCAAATGCCCTGCAGGGTCATCTGTGATGTGTCAGGACCTAGGAAACTGTCATTAGAAGATAGTGTTTCCATGAGCTGAATAGGAAATGACAACTCTTCTTATGACCATATAACAAATGTAGAGGTTCCTAGAGAGTGGAAGACAGAAAAGCAAGCCAACTTCACAGATCCTTCAAGAGTTACCCATGGGTCCTTGAAAGATAAAGACAAAATGAAATTGTTCTTAGTTAAAATAAGTGTGTCATATGACCTCATAATTGTGTTCATGTGTGACATTCTATGTCTAAGTGAACACAGGACAAAACTCAGTCTCTTAGAAATCCTCTTGCTACTTCATTAATTTCACTTATATAGTTTTGTGCACAGCAACACATTTGTCATTTGTAGTGTGATATTTAAACTGTAAGTATACTTGTGCTTCTTGGTGCTCACTGTATGAGTGTGTGTGTGAGATTAATAAAAGTACTCATAAATGCATAATTTTATAAACTTAAGTTTTCTTAACTTCTTAAAATTTATTAAAATGGCATTTTGGGATAAATAAATATTTCAAGAAATCTTAAAAATGACATTTATATAAAATTGTATTTGTTCCATCATAAAATATTTCATTTAGCTATGAAATTTAAAGTTGCACACATTGATAGGTATTTCCTTTCCAAATGTGACTTAATAGTCAAATGCAACAGAAAAATATTAAGCCATAAAATGATTTACTAGAATGACAACCTCTAAAAAATATACAGCAAATTACTTTATTTTTGGAATTACTATAGACCTATTTAAAGACAGAAATAATGTTAAAATGCAAATGATAAATTTAAG